ACAACGAAACCATCAATGCCTTTACATGCAGCAGCAGCAGCAGTAGTTGCAGCTGCTGCTGCGGCGGGCTGCCCTCGTCTGGCACCCGAAGACTTCTCTACTAAGGTACCCTTACTAGCTAGCTAGCTAGCTAGCTAGCTAGCTAATGCTGTACCCAGTTAGCTAGCTAGGTAGCTAGCCAGAAAACGAATTGGCTAGCCAGCAAACCAAATAGCTAGCTAGCCGACAAGCCTGCTAGCTAGCTAGCCCGCTAGCTAGCTAGCGATCAGGCAAGCTATCTAGCTAGCTAGCTAGGCCAAGACTATACATAGGCCAAAGAGAGAGCCAGGCATGCCCTCGATATAGCTAGCTAGCATTAAACGGCGGGAGGAACACCCAACTAGCTAGCTAGCTAGCTAGCTAGCTAGCTGTATAGGCAGGTGTATTCATGCAACCAGCTAGCTAGCTTACAAAGATATCTAGCTGGCTAGCTGTATAGGCAGGTGTATTTATGCAACCAGCCAGCTAGCTAGCAAACTAGCTAGCCGGCTAGCTAGCTTATAAAGATAGCTAGCTAGCTAGCTAGCTAGCTAGCGAGGTGTCTCTGCAGGTTAATTCAGGCAGTCGACTGATTGAAGTTTTGAAAATTTTGTTTTGCGAATTCCGCAGAAAAGTTTTTGCGATTTTTGAATTTATTTTTGTAAATTTCCACCGCAAAATATCCGCCTAAGGCCCCCGTCAGTGCACCTGCAGCAGCAGCAGCAGCAGCAGCAGCAGCAGCAGCAGCAGCAGCAGCAGCAACAGCAGCAGATGCAGCAGATGCAGCAGAAGTAGCAACAGAAACAGCAGCAGCGACAGCGGATGTTGTGCTAAAGATGGGTGGAAGCAAACCGAAGCAATATCAGCACAGACAGCAGCAGCAACAGCAACAACAGCAGCAGCAACAATAGCAGCAGCACCAACAACAGCAGCAACAACAGCAGCAGCAGCAGCAGATAGTGTTTGTAGTTACCAGCAAATACTACGGATCCCTTTGCAGCACGAGAGGCAACGCGGAAGGCAGCTACTTTCGTTTGCTGCTGCTGCTGCTGCTGCTGCTGCTGCTGCTGGATTTTCTGCAGCGACAAACAAATAAAAAAATAATAATTTCTTCGTTCACTGCTGCTGCTTCTGCTGCTGCTGCTGCTGCTGGCGAGAGATGCAGCTTTTAATTAAACAAACAGCAGCAAATATTAATGCAAGCAGCAGCAGCAACAACAGCAACAGAAGCAGCACCACCAGCAGCAACAACAGCAACAACAACAGCACCAGCAACACCAGCAACACCAACAGCAGCAGCAGCAACAACAACAGCAACAGCAACAGCAGTAGCAACAGCAACAGCAGCAGCAGCAGCAGCACCTGTGGATTCTGTAGGTGCCCCTTCGTGCGGAGGACGGCAATATACGGCCCCACATTATCTCCCTGCTGAACCATTGCCTGAAGTACACCCAAACCCTAAACCCTAAACCCTAAACCCTAAACCCTAAACCCTAAACCCTATAGGCGGCAGTGCCACTCTCCAAACCCTAAACCGTAAAGACCGAAGCCTCCTCAGCTGTACCGCAACTTTCGTAAAGTACACAGCAAACCCTAAACCCTACACCCTAAACCCTAAACCCTAAACCCTAAACCCTAAACCCTAACCTTGTGGGCCCCATCGCAGTAAGGGAACTTCTGCGACTGCCAGCAGCGGCAAAGAGCGACGCGCCGCTCCGGCTGTCCTTCTTGAGGAAACGCCTCCGTTACCTGCAGCACAAACCCTAAACCCTAAACCCTAAACCCTAAACCCTAAACGAAATAAGGGCTGCGCCGCAGCGACTGCAGTCGCTGGATCTCACCGAAATTCAAGGTTTGCTGTTCTTAGTCTAGGGTGTAGGGTTTAGCGTTTAGCCTTTAGTGTCTAGTGCTTAGGGTTTATGGTTTAGGGTTTATGGTTTAGGGTTTAGGGTTTAGGGTTTAGGGTTTAGGGTTTGCCTGAGATATAGGCGGGTAGTGCAGGACGTTATAGTCGATCCGATCCTGGTAAGGAACCAACTCCCCCATTGTGTACTTGCAGCTTAGGGTTTAGGGTTTAGGGTTTAGGGTTTAGGGTTTAGGGTTTAGAATTGAGGGGTATAATCATAAAAGATTTCTCCAGCCAAAAGAATATCGCCATAGGCAGCTTTAAATACACTGGGGGGCCCTGGGGCCCCGGGGCTTCTGTGTGTAGCTTCGCTGTACTGAAACCCTAAACCCTAAACCCTAAACCCTAAACCCTAAACCCTAAACTTTGATTTTTCTGCGTCAAGTATGTAAAGGGGATTACCAATTTAAGCAAACGGTTAGTCGAATACTTCCAACCCTAAACCCTAAACCCTAAACCCTAGAACCGTAAAACCCTAAAACACTAATCCCTAAACCCTACACCCTAAACCCTAAACCCTAAACCCTCTATGATCGTCAACATGTTGAAATCTTCCAGCAGATGCAGCGATGTTAACGTTGACATTATTAGGTGCTGAGGGTTTCGGGGTTTTGCTCGACGCCCTATGTGCAACGAGGGTTTAGGGTTTAGGGTTTAGGGTTTAGGGTTTAGGGTTTTGCTGCAAGCATCAAGCCGTTTCCAAACGGCGAAGTGAGTTATGTGCAATCGCGCAAAAATAAATTTGTTTTAAGAAAGACCAACTTAGATTAGGGTCTAGGGTTTAGGGTTTAAGGTTTAAGGTTTAGGGTCTACGGTTTAGGGTTTAGGGTTTAAGGTTTAGGGTTTAGGGTTTGCTCAACGTTAAGCTGCACTAGCAGCCGCCAATGAGTATTGGAGGCATCATGCTGTTGAATCTGCTGGTGCTGCTGCTGCTGTTGAATCTGCTGCTGCTGCTGCTGCAGTTGTTTTGTTGCAGCTTATTGTTTGCTGCTGCTGGTACATATGCGGTGGTTTGCCTTGCTGCATCAACCCTAAACCCTAAACCCTAATTTCCGTGGTACAAGCAGCAGCAACAGCAGCAGCAACAGCAGCAGCAGCAGCAATAGTTTCCTGCAGCAAGGGCTTTGCGTGGGAAGGGGGCATTCTTTGTTTAGGGTTTAGGGTTTAGGGTTTAGGGTTTAGGGTTTAGGGTTTAGAGTGAACGAG